GAACAGTTCATTGCGTGGACAGAAAACACACACATGTACAGACTGTTGACACCGAGGCTGCCATGGCTCCAAAGCAGGGCAAGGCTTCCACAGGCCCCGTTGCTCATGCCACGTAGGGCCGCAACAGCATCACCTGAGAAAACCTGGAAGCCATGTAACAAAGCAGATAAGTTGGGAATGTTCTCTATACACCAAGGAAATGTTCACTGAGGCAAATATAAAACATACACAAAAAGAATGGGCCTGATATTCTCTATCAGAGAGTCTAAGAAAGGGAATCCAGGCATTGAACTTGATTTCCTATTTAATGTTGAATCCCAGGTTGAGACAGTACATCCCAGCCTCACAGGCTGGGTCCTCTATTCCCTCCTGTTCTCTAGTGGCCCACTTTAGGTGACAGTGATCCCACTCAGCGCCCACCCGACGGAGCCAATGTTCTTCACCTGGAGAAACTCTGGAGCCCACCTCTTCTAAGGGTCCTGTTTCACCGGGGTCCACACGCATGCCGTTCACACTCCTGGCAGGGTTCACCCTACAGTGAGGTGCAACTGAAAGGGGCCCTTCACCACAGACAAGCTTCCCACCAGCATCTAAGGAGCTAGGTGGCCGGCTGGGGGCTCAGGTCCTCAGCGGATGCTGGAGATGCCAGGATCTTCCCTTGGGCTTTCTTTCAGCGGCTCGTCTGTCTGGGGAGCTGCAAGCTGCATTCTCCTTTTGGCCCGAAGTTAGTTCAACTCCTCGGCGGGGCTTCCTTTATCTTACAGTCTCTTTGCCCTCCCAGACAGAATCATATATTAAATTTCTGCTAGGACTAGAGTCTCTGAATGAATCTTCTGGCCACCGTACCCTCCTCAGCTTAGCTCCAGTCATGATGGAGCATTTATCATTTATCGTGGGCTCCTGGGGGGCAGGGAGGAGGGTCAGGGGAATTGTGGGTGCAATTGAAACAAGGGGTGATGAGAGTGGGGGCCCACTACATGAGACAAATGATGAGTGCCCACGTGGGAGGATGGGCTGTGGCCAAGGTTCTCTCCAGAGACCTTAGCACAACTGACACCACGTTGGAAGCACCATTCTGATCTTAGAACCTAGCACGGAGGCCCCCAAACCTGCCAATACAGGAATGAAGGCCTAATCCATCTAAGACCTAGTCCATAGTTCCAGGATCCAGGAAAGTTTCTAAATGTACTAACTTTGCTTTTTGGCTCTGTAGTTTCACTTTTCGCTAACTGTTCCTGCTAACCAAAGTGTGTCAACCAGGATGTGGGTTTTGTGCATAAAAGTCAAAGAACAGTGAGTCTCAGGGCTACGTGATTTGGGCAAGTTCCCTGTGCAGCCACTGGCTGGGGCAATACAGACTTTCTATTCAGCATTAAGAGTGTGCATGTGAGCCGGGCAGTGGTGGCGCACGCCTTTAATCCCAGCACTCGGGAGGCAGAGGCAGGCAGATCTCTGTGAGTTCAAGGCCAGCCTGGGCTACCAAGTGAGTTCCAGGAAAGGTGCAAAGCTACACAGAGAAATCCTATCTCGAAAAACCAAAAAAAGAAAGGAAGGAAGGAAGGAAGGAAGGAAGGAAGGAAGGAAGGAAGGAAGGAAGGAAGGAAAGAGTGTCCATGTGTGTTCTCTGGTGGAGTTGCCTCACAACAATAGTGTTGCTAGTATTTCATCATACGTCTTCTCTGCAGGTTCATTTCCTCAGGGAAGAGTCCTTCTGCACCTGACGCTAGATAAAAGAGCCTTCTTGGGAATTCATGATGATGTTCAGGGCAAACAGCCCTGCAATGGAAAATGTAGTTACTTTTCCTTATTTGCAGAGTTGAAGCCATATCCCTCCATAAGGTGAAGGCACAGACATCTGGCCACTAGCAGAAAAGAAGTCCAGCCTTTTACGATTGAATGATCACTACCAGCTGAACTTGTAGCTTGACTCCAACTCTAGAGGTACTGTTGGCATTCTTATAACACATATTGATCTGGCTGATCCCCTGCTGTCCAGACTTGACTGGTACCCATTTCTTATTGGTGTCACTGTTGACCATTACAGAGGCCAGCACTTGGCAGATACTGTTCATTCATTTTGCTACCAGGACAGGCAAAGTAGCTCAATGTCTGGCTGAGCTGTGGAGAGCCGTCAGGGTTCATCTTTTCTGGTGAGCTTCTCAGGCGGAGCTGACTGACAGCGGGGCCCTACCCCCTTGTGTGCCTAGGTCCACAGTGGAACATTTCTATGCCCAAATTATGGGGATTACACAAAATCTGATTAAACTGTATAGAACTACACACAGAACACAGAGCACATGTAAAACTGATGGAACCTGAACAACATGTGTGCATTGTATCAATATTAATTTTCTGGCTTTACTCACTGGGGAGAATGTTGGGGAAGGGGGAAGGCAACATAAAATCATTCTATAATTTTTGCAACTTTCTATGGATCTCCAGTTGTCCACAAATAAAAAGTATTTTAAAAAATGTCTGGGGCTAGGAAAATGGTTAACTGGTAAAACGCTTGCTGTGCACACAGAAGAACCCGAGTTTGTATCCCAAGCACCTTTATGTAAAAGCATGGTCTCACCCATCTGTAACCTTGGGGTCGGGTAGAGAGACAGGCGGATCCCTGGAGCTTGCTGGCCAGCCAACCTCCTTGGGAGACCCTGTCTCAAAAGATGGAGCAGGTGGGGTGGCACATACCTTTAATTCTGGCACTTGCAAGGCACGGGCAGGCTGATCTCTGAGAGTTGGAGGCCAACCTGATCTACATCGGGAGTTACAGGACAGCCAGGGCTACGCAGGGAAACCTTGTTTCAACACCATTTAACAGCCTCTATGGCCCTTGGGCTAAAATTTAATGTGTGGCTTGAACAAAAACACTGCTGTGACACTGTCCCTCTCCAGCGCTTTCCCACACTTTCGTCTTCCACTAAATTACACTCGTAAGGCTCACTTCCCTGTCTCAAAACAACCAAAAGCTTTCCCCCTTCAAGCTTTTGCACACAACATTGCATTTGCCGTAGGCAGCTCACGGTAGGCAAACTGAGTTGCTGCTCATGGGGATGGATATTAGTGCGTGCAAGGAACTGCCCTACTGAAGCCCCAGTTCTGGATCTTCCATGCAACAGGGGGAATGCTAGCTAAGAATCAGCACACTGATTTACAGTGCGCTAGGCCCCTTAATCCTCAAAATGACCACCTAGGGGTCAGACTAGGATCCTATTCACCACTCAGCCTTTAAAGCGGTTCAGAAACGGAGAGGTGGGGGCGTAGTCGGAGCCAGATTCGCTCCTGACCTCCAATCAACACTGCCTTTCCTCCCGCCCACAAATGCTGCGGATGAACCCTGCAGGTCAGCAGCTCCTGGAGTCCGAGGCTGGACCACAGAAACAGGACTTCAACGCCTAGGACAGAGACGTCGAGTCGGGGCGTAGGTCCAGTCCGAGACACCTCAGTGGGGAGCAGCAAGGGCAGGCCACCACCACTCGCTTACCTGGTGCTGGAGCTGCGGCCACCCCCGCGCAGAAGCCCGGGCCCCCGGGACGCCCGCTCGCTTGCCCGGAGGAAGCCCCCAGCAAAGCGGCATGGGGCTCGACCGCAGGCACCGCCCAGGTAACGCAGGGTCGGCCACATGGCCTGCGCCACCTCCCCTTGCCCAGCCTCAGCCGCTGCAGCCCGAACGACACTACGGGAGAAGCGCGCCGCTCTCCAGCCCCGCCCCCAGGCGAGGGCCAATGAAATGCCCGCTTTTGCCTTCCGTGGGCGTGGCCGCGGCTGGCCAATGGGCGGGCGCGGCGGAGGGAAAAGCCAGAGGGCGAAGGGCCGGCCAGACGCAGGTACGCTGCGCGTCGTGAGTAGAGAAGCGAGGGCGCAGGCGGGTACCGGGTGGTGGAGCCGCTCTCCCGGGCCTTGGGCGAGCGCTGGCTCGACCCGACCCCTGCGCTGGGCTGCCAGAGGAGGCCGTGCGTGGCGGGGGGACCTCTGGCTCCCGCGGCCTCTCCTTCGGCAATGGCCCCCTGGTCGGTTGGCGACGCCCTGGCCCCGGAGCCGGGGACTGGCAGCTGAGAAGCCACCTCCTGCCGCTCTCGGTCACCACCACGTCGGAGGCTTCTGGGCCCTTCGTGGGGCTTCCGATGGTGTCGTTCATGCGACTACTGACTCAGCTTGTAAATATTGGGCGCTGAGCTAGGCGCTGGGTGAAAGTAGACCGCTCGGTCCCTCTCATCATTTAGTGTTTTTTTTTTATTTTAATTTTTTAAAGATTGACTTATTTGTGAGTATGTGTGTGAAAGTGCCTGCGTGGGTTTATGTGCAGCACGTGTGCGCAGGAGCCCGCAGAGACCAGAAAAGGGAATCAAGGATCCCCTGGAACTGGAAGTGCTGGGTGATTGTAAGCCACCATGTGGGTGCTGGGAACCAAACCGAGTTCCTCAGGCAAGACTAGTTAGCAATCTTAATCACGGATCCTTCTCTCCAGTCCCAACCCTGTCTTAATCACTGGACCAAGATAAATGTTTATGTGTTAGAACTCACGGAGCAGGTCACTTTACTGTGTTTCCTCTACTGAGACCTATGTAATCACCTAAGGACCTTATAACTCTGTAAAAATGTGCGATTCTTTGTCACCATACCAGTGTAATTCCCATTCTCTGCTTGATGGCAGTTCTTTGTTTTTAGGGTTAGAACAGCTTCACAGGACCAAGAAAGAATGATAGAACTATTGCCGGAAGGACTTGGTTTGGTTCCAGCCAGTAAGTGGTGCAAGCTCAGGGAAATCTTATCACCCCTGCCTCACACAGTCTTCTGTTGTTGCTATTGAGCAGATAATAATGTATATGAGAATATTCATCAAACATTGAACTCAGCAAAGCATCAGCTTTTTATTATGCTTGAATGATGTATCTCATGAGCAGTACTAGACATTTTGTCTCATTGGTAGGGAGGAAACAGTGTTCCCTGTTTAGTTCATCACAGGTGAATAGCATTGATAGTTGGGTGTCTTAGTTAGGGTTTCTGTTGCTGTGAAGAGACACCATGACCACCACAACTCTTATAAAGGAAAACATTTAATTGAGGTGGCTTACATTTTCAGAGGGCTAGTCCATTATCATCATCATAGCCAGGAGCATGGTGCATGCAGGAAGACATGGTGCTGGCTGCATCTTGATATACAGGCAACAGGAAGTAGACTGAGACGCTGAGCAGTTTCTTGAGCTTTTATGAAACCTCAAATTCCACCTCTACAGTGACACACTTCCTCCAAGAAGACCACATCTACACCAACAAGGCCACACTTCCTAATAATGCCACTCCCTTTGAAAACCATTTTCTTTCAAACCACCATAGTCCACTCCCTGGCCCCCAAGACTTGTAGCCATATCATGATGCAAAAATGCACTCATTTTAACTTCAAAAGTCTCCATAGTCTATAACAGTTTATAAACATATTTAGAAGTCTAAAGTTCAAAGTCACTTTTGAGATTCATGCAATCTCTTAACTGTAATCACCTGTAAAATCAAAATCAAAAAGCAGATCACATACTTCCAATATAAAATGGTACAGGATATACATTACCATTCCAGAACATAGGGAAGGGAGCATGGTGAGGAAATACTGGACCAAAGCAAGACCAAAAGTCAGCTAGGCAGACCCCAAAATCTGCATCTCTATGTCTGTTGTCAAAGTGCTCTTCAGATTTCCAACTCCTTTTGGCTCTGCGCAACTTCGCCTGGTGGCCTCTCTAGTCCTCCCTTCAGAGACACCCCTGACACATGCCTGGCCTCAGTGTCTTTCCTTAGTCTTGGAGGAAGGTTCCATAATGCCTTTCTTCTGTCCTTGACTCTAAAGCCAGAACCATGTCACCAAAGCTGCCAAGTTCATTGCTTGCTGGGGCTGGATCATGGCTCCCTCATTCAATTATATCTTCACCAACTTTCTTTCCTTCACTACCTAAGCTTGGCTGTTTTGGAATTTATGCTGTAGACCAGGCTGGCCTCAAACTCAAAGATTCAAAAGCTTCTGTCTTCTGAGTGCTGGGATTGAAGGTTCTAAGCTTTTCTTTAGTTCCTTTTCACAAGTTGGAAAATTAGCTGGGTGGGATCTTGCCCTGAGGTCACCACTCCCTATATTCCATTTCTTAATCTATTTATCTCCTAGAACACAGGACTTAATTCCATACCACCTTTTGGTGTTCCTTTTCACCTTAAATTTATATTTTGTAATTGACCCTGCTCAGCTTTCTCCTTTTCATTATAAATCTTTATTAGAGCTACCACTAATAACCACATCACGGAGTCTATACTAGGCTGTTTTGAGATTTTTCTCTGCCAAAAGAATTGATCCAAAACTCGTTACTGTGGCCTCAGGCAAACTTTTTAGACAAGGGCAAAAAACAGCCACTTTCTCCGCCAAAATATCACAAGAATGATCTCTAGACAACAAACTAAAATTCTTCTCTGAAACTTCTTGAGCCAGCCCCCCACAGTTCAAATCACTCTTAGCACCACTGTCTCCCATGCTCCTACTAGTATGGCCCATTAAGCAGTGCTTAAAGCATTCACTGCTTTCATAACCCAAAGTTCCAAAGTCCAAATTCCTCCAAATAAAAACCTGGTCAGGCCTTTGACACCAATACCCCACTCCTAGTACCAACATCTGTTGTAGTTAGGGTTTTGTATTGCTGTGAAGAGACACCATGACCACCGCAACTCTTATGAAGGGAAACATCTAATTGAGGTGGCTTATATTTTCAGAAGTTCAGTCCATTGTCATCATAACTGGGATCATGATGGCAGACAGACAGACATGGTGCTGGCTGCATCTTGATATGCAGGCAGCAGGAAGTCGACTGAGACACTGGTTCGTTTCTTGAGCTTTTATGAAACCTCAAATCCCACCTCCACAGTGACACACTCCACTCCCTTAGAGGGCCCTTTTCTTTCAAAACACCACAGTTGTATTTTAAATTCCGTGTACTATTTTATGGTGATTGTAGGTTCTCATGCAGTTGTAAGAACTAATAGAGAGCCCATGTGTCCTACTTTGCTTTTTATTGCTGTGATAAATACCACGACCAAAAGAAACTTAGAAGGAAAGGATTTATTTCATCTCACAGCTTATAGTGCATCGTGAAGGGATGTCAGCAGGAACTGAAGCCACGGCCATGGAGGAGTGCTGCTTACTGGTTTGCTCAGTTTGGTTTCTTGTATACCTCAAGACCACCTACCCAGGGGTGGTACCACATACAGTGGGCTTGGCCCTTCCAAATCATCAATCAAGAAAATGCCCCACACTCCGTCATATGGAGAAATTTTCTTAATTGAAATTACCTCTCCCCGGATGACTCTAGAGTGTCAATTTGACCAAAAACTAAGACAATGGCCTCTTGTCAACTTGACACAAACACATCACTATTAAACCATAAACTTTCCGTTCTTGTTTGTTCCCAAGATACCATGTTACTTTTTAAAAAAAGATTTATTTATTTATTATGTATACAATGTTCTGTTTGCATGTTTGCCCGCAGGCCAGAAGAGGGCATCAGATCTCATTGTAGATGGTTATGTGTCACCATATGGTTGCTGGGAATTGAACTCAGGACCTTTGGAAGAGCAGCCAGTGCTCTTAACCTCTGAGCCATCTCTCTAGCCATTACTATTAATACCACAATACAGAATGTATAACTTTCATGTGTGTGAGTGTTTTGCCTGCATGTATGTTTGTATACCATGTGTGTGCCTAGTGCCTATGGAGGCCAGAAGAGGGCATTGGATCTCCTGGAACTGAGTTTTAAGTGCTCATAAGCTGCCATATGGGTTCTAGGAATCAAACATGAATTCTCTGAAAGAGCAACTTTTGTTGGAGTTTTTGGGCTCTTTTGGGGGGCCTGCCACCCAGCTCCCAAATAAATTGCACACAGAGGCTTTTTCTTACTTATGAATGCCCAGCCTTAGCTTGGCTTAGTTTCTAGTCAGCTTTTCATAAATTATCCATCCCATCTACCTTTTGCCTCTGGGCTTTTCCCATTCTCTTATTAGACCATCAGATGTTTTACACAGGCACAAACCACAGGTTCACAGAGTTAAACTAATGCAACATAAACAAAAGTAACACACCTTAAAATAATATTCTACTACTATAATATTCTACTGCAGTGCTCTTAATTGCAGAACCATCTTTCTAGCCCCTAAGAATAACTTTAAAAGTCCCACAGTCAGTAGATACGAGATGGTGTCAGCTACAGCAGTGTGGCATCCTGGTGTCTCTGCTGCTGGGCCAGACCTGCCAAGGGGTAGGACAGCCCATGTCGAGTGGAGCCCCCTGCAATGTGAGTTCAGCTCAGATGTGGAAGGCCCTCACCTACTTCTTAGCACTGCCCAGGATGGGAGTGAGGAAGATGCTCAACGTTTTCCTGAAGTTGCAACATGAAGAGCACTAGAGACTCAAGTTGGTTGCTTACCCCATCTCTGGATCAAGAGCAAGCCCTTTCCCTGGGACAGTGATAGCCATACCCATTTCCATAACTCTTGCATTAATCCATTTCCAGCTGGCTCTGGGGATGAGTGAAAAGAATCTGGACCTTCACCCAGGCAACAAGGGACCACACAGCACCGGTTTAACCATTACTGTGCATGTGGGCCACAAAAGCATGTGGGATGCTAAGCTCATCTTTCCTTCTATCAAGTGGGGACCGTTATACCCACCTTCCATCCCTTTGCTTGTGGGAGGAGGGGACTTTAATAAATAAACTTAGAAAAGACTCCTTCAGACTTTAACATTTTCAGAACTTTAAAAGGTCCAGTTTGGGGTCAAGGTCCTTTCTCGGGGAGACCTGGCCTTCCTTTCGGGAGTTCTGGATCTCTACACTGGACAGAGTCTGGAGATTGGTTGGTGCCCAGAGTCCCTGTTGCTGTGCTACAGTGTGTCCTGCCTTTCTTTCTGGAGTTTTTCTGATTATGTAGGTCAAAGGAAAACTTAGACTTCTTGCCAGTGCCAAAGGTCCCTAGGGGTCAGGCCTCTGCTGTCCATTACAGTAACTATACTCATTTTACCTTTGGTGATTAATGCTGCCACGTGACCTCTGCTAATCCAGGACTCAAACCTATCGCATTTACTTCAGTTGAGCAGCAGTGTCTGGCACAAGGAGAAGAGCAAGAAGAACAAAGC